ATAAATAGCAGGCATGACGTCAGACTGTACTAAGTGCTACGGAGGAAGCATAGCGGGACAGTGGGGTAAAGACAGGCCAGGCTTGGAGAAGGGCAGGTGAGTCAGGTCTGATCGCTCACCTAGACCACCCCCTTCCTTGGCGCAGTGGGGCCCTTCGAGCCGAAAGGACGTGCACGTTGTCCTCTGGGGAAACCCACTGGGGCAGCACGCAGCCGTTTCCCCCGGGTCCCCTGCAACTTGGCCAGTGGAATTCAGGCGGGAATGGTCCGCGTCCAGGCCTAGCCGACCCTGTGCTCCTCCCTCTGGCGCCCCACATGACAGCCCCCAAATGACCTTCCCAGGAGCAAGAAATAAATCTCTGTTCTGTTAGGTTTCTGAAATTGTGGGAATGCCTGTCAGAGCGTCAGCCCTCCCTGCAGTCTGCATTGGAGCAGACATCCACCTGGAGGTAGCCTCCCTCCAGGGGCTGCAGACACGTCGGGGGTCCGAGCAGCAGAGGACACGGTCTCGCCGACCCACAGCAACACTGCAGACTAGAAGACAGGAGAGGCTGCCCCTCAGTGAGTCTGGGCAGCGGCTGTTGGCTTCCGGCACGTGGGGCGCGCAGCTCTGCTCATCGCACGCCAGGCGCCACGCCCGCACCTCCTGTCCCCACGGCTCCAGCGTAGAAACATCACTGGCAAGGGGAGTCCTCAGGAGCCTGCGTGTGCAGGGGCCCGAGAGCTCCCGCCGTCGCTGCTTTCCTGCCGGAGTTTGCAAGGTTTGTGTTCACTGGGGAGGGGGCTCATTTCCCTGCTTCAGAGTGGTGCACGTCCCCCATCAGGGCACACAGACGTCACTGTGGCCTCGTGAGAAGACTGTGCCCCCTCAACACGGCCACAGGCCCATGGGGCGCGAGCACCTGCTGCTCTGGGGAAGCCGGCTCTCCCTTCTCCTACTGCCAGACCCAACCTCTCTGCCTCGGGGCCGCCGGCAGTGGTCAGGCTGGAAGCACACGGGTGTCTTTCCTCCACTGTCCAGCAGAGGACAGACGTGGCGGGACCAACCGACCCAGCAGATCTTGGGAACCCCTGCAGGACAAGGGCTCTGCCCACAGTGGCCTTCCCTTTTGGGACCTTTCACAGGCCTGGGTATGACCGGGCACAGAGGAGGGAAATTCCTCGTGTCGGTACCCATATCATCAACTCTGAGAAAGCTCTGAGAGCCAGGACGACAGAATATCTCAGTGGCGGCAAGATGCCTGCCAAATGCACGTGTGTGAGGGTGTGAGTGAGCAAACGCCCCCTCGGGGCTCATTATAGACTCACCCATCACTATAAGGTTCCTGCCAAGTGTTGAGTATTGGTGAGGATGACTCGGCCAGACGTTCCGGAGTTTGGGAAATGAGGTGGATCTGGCTTGCGGGTCAAATTGGGCCCACTGCCTGCTTTTGTAAATAAAGTTTTATTGGAACCCAGCCACGCCCGTTGGTCTACATATTGCTGAGGGCCGCCTTCGTGCTACAAAGGCAGAGCAGAATAGTTTCAACAGAGGCCAGTCGGCAGGCTCACAAAGCCTAAAACATTTACTACCCGGTCCTTTACAGCAAAAGTTTGCCAATGGTTCTGAAGAGCCTTAGGGCAGGACAGGAAAAAAGACGCAGACGTAGAGAATGGACTTGAGGACATGCAGAGGGGGAAGGGTAAGCCGGGACGAAGTGAGAGTGGCATGGACGTATATACGCTACCAAATGTAAAATCGATAGCTAGTGGGAAGCAGCCGCATGGCACAGGGAGATCAGCTCGGTGCTTTGTGACCACCTAGAGGGGTGGGATAGGGAGGGTGCGAGGGAGACACAAGAGGGAGGGGATATGGGGATATATGTATACGTATAGTTGATTCACTTTGTTATAAAGCAGAAACTAACACACTGTTGTAAAGCAATTATACTCCAATAAAGATGTTAAAAAAAAAAAAGAAAAAGTTTGCCAATCCCTGAGTTAGATGGACAGATTTCTACTAGAGATGACCTTTGGGGAGCACAGCCCAAGGCCTTCAACAAAACTGGCTCACACAGTGAAAACCTGACTCCCTGTCCAATTTGCTTTCAATCCTGATGACACTTGAGAGGAAGCTTCTGGCTCCAGTGTATCTAAGACACGTCAACACTTGCATGTACCCCCCCCAGCACCCCCCTGCCCCAGAGCTATGTTTTCTCTGCTTTATGCTTGTTTTATAGTCGACTTCTGTCATAACAGATACCTCCAGCTTTCCAATTGTGAGCTAATAAAGCCTCCTTTTAGAATAAATTTATTTATACTGAAAATGAACTACTAAAGAAAATCTTAAGTAAATGGCAAGTGGCAGTCGGACACAGCAAGGGCCTCGAGGGCTGGTGGGGGTCCTAGAGCCGAGTCACCAGCACCCCCGTCGGCATGGGCTGTGCCCTGCGCCTGGCCCATTTGCCTGGAGGACGCTCAGTCTGGGAAACTGCGCCTGGGCTGGGGGGGTCGATGCTTGAGTGCCTCCCTCCAGTCCTCACCTCCGTTTCGCCGTGATCTCGCCCCCCCAGGCAGGCCGCTCAAGGGCGGGTGATGGCTCTGGAAGTGAACTCCCATCCCAGGGGACTGAGGCAGGAGGGTGGCTCTGTGTGACTGAAACTCAGCAGGACCCTATGGGGCCCTCCTGGTCACAAAAGCCTTTCCGTGTCCCCCATTTCTTACTTGCAGGAGAAAGGCTTCAGTCTCCTAGACCTTCCTGAATACCAAAGAGCAGATTCAAACACTTGCTAACCAGGGAAGTAAGGGAATGCGGAAACAAAGGGAGAACAATCACACTACAGTGCAGAGATCAAAGCAGGATCCTGGTTCCTGCTCAAGGAATATACGTAACAGTATCTTCAGTTCTTCTGCAGGAACTGAGGACCCCATGCAGGTGGAGGACGGCAGCTCCAGGCTGAGCACGAGATTCCTGGAGCCCCGTCCTGTTACCTCACCAGCAACCAGTCAGAAGAAAGTCACACACCCTGCAGCCCTCACCCCAAGTTTTGCCTGTAAAAACTTCTCCCCCAAAACCATCAGGGAGTTTGAAGTTTTTGAGCACGAACCACCCATTCTCCTTGCTTGGCCCTGCGGTAAACCCTTCTCTGCTCCAAACTCCAACATTTCGGTCTGTTTGTCTTCCCCCGTGCGACAGGCACACACACCTGTGTTCGGTGATATGCTGAGCTGGACACACCCTCCTGCTCCTCCTTTTTTCCACGACTGCCACACACAGCACTTCTGACGCCAGAGGTGTCACCACGTCCAGCAATTCTCTGCGACACCAGCTGGGGGCGCTACCATTTAACTCAACTCTGACACCATCTACCCGGAGAGGGCGTCCATCCCACAGGTTAAGGGCTCGGTCCCCCGAGATGCTCCCACTTCAGACGTCAATTGCCAAGTCCAGGTTGTCACCTGAGCTTCTGACCGATTGGCTGTAAATCTGAGGTTCCAACAACCCCCTCCTTGGGTTTGATTAATTTGCTAGAGCAGCTCACAGAACTCAGAAAACCAGTGTACTCACTAGATTATTGGTTTATTGTAAAGGGTATGACTCGGGAACAGTCAGAGGGAAGAGGTGTAGGACGACGTGTGGGAAGGTGCTCGGAGCCTTCACGCCCTCCCCGAGTGCCACTCTCACTGAATCTCCATGTGTCCACCCGCCGGAAGCTCTCTGAACCCTGTCCTTTTGGGTTTTTATGGAGACTTCATTACGCAGGCACACGATTGATTAAATCATGGGCCACTGGTGACTGATTCGACATCCAGCCCCTCTTCCCTCCTGGGGTGGGCGGTGGCGGGGGGACGGTGAAAGTGAAGGTCCCAGCCCTGCAGTCACAGGGTTGGTACCCCTGGTGGCTAGCCCTGGCCTTAGGTTCCCTTGGGACTTCCCAAAAGTCCCCTCATGCACATAAGCTCAGGTGTGCTAGAAGGGGTTTGTTATGGATGTCTGCAGACATCCTTTTCACTCTTATCATTTAGGAAATTGCACGGCTTTTACGAGTTCTGGCCAGAAACAGGAACAAAGACCAAACTAAGTCACAGCGGCATATGTGGTGAAGGCAGGGCGATAGTCACGACACGGCTCCGTGGCTGTGGTGTGTCTGGTGGGGTGTCTGACCTGGATGTGGCCCTGAGAGGTCTGCTGCTTCATCTCTGCATTTTAATACCCACCCCCCAGCTTTCTGCATCAAAAAGAACAGGAAACAAAACAGACCAATCAGGCCAAGGAATGAAGCCGACACCTTAATAACACTCGAGGGGCCCTAGCTCCACAGGTGGGGAGAGGCACTGGCCACGGATGGGATTATTTAATGGGGTTCTCACCACCACTTTATCAAATTGTTGCTCAGATTGGGCTGCAATCTTCCTTCAAAGGGAAGGAGATAATGCTAGTTGATGGCCTTGATCATTGAAAAACAAATTTGTAAAATGAGTCCTTCAGTCCTTCAGGAAAACGACCTCGTGATGGCCGCTGGGAGCAGGTGGCCCTAAGGGAAGGGTCACAGAACTGCGCCCCCTGGCACCTCAGGCTCAGTCTCAGCACCTCTGATTTTTCAGCAAGATCATGGTCAGCGTGGACAAGCCATCATTCTCCACTCAATATCTTAGTCATAATCAGGAAGAAGTGTGAACGTGCAGGCCAAAGGAAGGTGTCAGAGGTCAAAGGCCATGACCCAAGTCTCCATCCCATCTCCTTCCACGCACCAGAACAGTCACTGGACAGTAACTGGAGAGAGAGGACCCAATGCAAGCAGGCCCGTCCACCCTGGAGGACGCAACTGCCCTTCTGACTTTTCTCTGTTCTGTGTATTACTTATCTCAGTACTGAAAAGGCAAAATCTTGACCTTGGACACCCAGTGCAGAGCCGGTCCCAGGCTCCAGGAACAAGCCCATCAGCCTTGATTCGCGAGATCCCAGGAGAGGCAGGGGCTAAAGCCGAGAGCTTTCCCACCGGCAGGAGCGTCTCCACTTACCCTCACCAGCTGCTGTGGGAAGGGCCCGCGGGAGTTTTCTGGCACGTTGATGGGCGGGATGACCCAGTCCCGTTTCTGCCGCCTCAGCCCATTGGAGCTCTGATGCTGTGGCCACGGCAACAGTGTGTCATTTGGCGGCTGGACAGAGTCCAGGGATGCACTCTTCTTTCCTTTCTGCGGCGTTATTTGGAAGGGAGAGAAGAGGAAAAGAAGCCTGGTTAGGTGTTGCAGAGGAAAAGGCATCTGTTAGAATTTGTACTATCCTAGATCCAGGGAAAGATTGGATGGTGTTGGGAAAAGTGGGGACGTGTTAGGGAAAAAAATCTAGCAAGACCCTCATCTCTACAAAGAAATGGACTACAGATTACATGGGGGTTAAGAAACCATAAACAAAGAAGAAAATATAGCTGACTCTTTAACCAGTACATCAGGGCTTTTTAAGCCCAAAACAATGGAAAAAAATTACAAAGGAAAATATTCATACGTTTTAACTTAAAACCCTTGTTTATGGAAACATAAACCCTAAAAAGCAATTGATGAATTTACAACAGATCTGACAAACAGCTAAGAGCCTGACTATATAAAGAGTTCCTACAAATCAATAAGAAAAAATTGGAACTTTATTATAACAGGAAAAAGACACAAATAGATAATTAACAGCAAAGTAAATACAAAGGATCAATAAACTCATGAAAAATGTCCAGTCATCAAACAATGCAAATTAAAGCAATATATCCTCCTCACCCATCAAACTGACAAGAGTAAACAAAATGAATCCTCCCCCCTGAGGAGCGTGTCGTGAGTGAGTCAGCAGAGGGTGATGGTTGAGGTTGTGGGATTTGGCGTTAAACAGACCTGGTGTCTTATGTTTACCTGCAACCAAAGATTCATGTGACGCAAGTGCCCTTGATCTCGCTCAGCTCCGGCTACTTCTTTTGTAAAACGGGCTTGGTAATAACAGCACTGAATTCAGAGGGTTGCTATGGAAATTAGACTGATAAGAGCCCATGCCTGGCGGGAACCAGCGGGACTGAATGTCGGCTGCTCTGAAGTCAATGCGGCTCCTCACTGCTGGGAGCAGCATTCTGCCAACAACTATCGGAAGCCTCAAAAATGGTCCTCGCTTTTGACCCCATAACTCCACAGCTGGAAGTCTGTCCCAGTGGAACTGCATGTGGACAAACCCGCCAAATAAAGATGTTCATTGTAGCTGTCTTTATAATAACATTATGTATATGTCAAATAGTAAAAACACCAGGAAAAAATTCTGGAAGTCTGATGGTGGTAAATAATATTTAAATGCATTACACTACGCTCATATCTTGGGATACTACGTGTCATTAGAAGTTACTCTTTGTAAGTCAGAAAGAGAAAAACAAATACCGTATGCTAACACATCTATATGGAATCTAAAAAAAAAACAAATGGTACTGATGAACCTAGTGGCAGGGCAGGAATAAAGATGAAGACATAGAGAATGGACTTGAGGACACGGGGCAGGGGAAGGGGAAGCTGGGGCGAAGCGAGAGTAGCATCAACACATACACGCTACCAAATGTAAAACAGCTAGTGGGAAGCAGCCGCATAGCACAAGATCAGCTCGGTGCTTTGCGACGGCCTAGAGAGGTGGGATAGGGAAGGTGGGAGGGAGGCTCAAGAGGGAGGGGATATGGGGATATATGTATGCATATGGCTGATTCACTTTGTTGTACAGCAGAAACTAACACAGCATTGTGAAGCAATTATACTCCATAAAGATGTATTAAGAAAAAAAAGAAGTTACTCTTTGAAGATATGAAGAAATTCCATACACTAATAGGAAGTGGAGAAATGGCACCAAAGTATACAGGCAGCATAAGTCCCCATGTTTTTTAAAAGGATAGAGAAAAGATTGGAAGGAAATACATAGAAATGTAAACTCTGGTTTTCTCTGGTCACCAGTGAGTTTTTATTTTAATTTATTCCTTTTACCTTTCTGTATTTCTGAATGTTATAATGTACATGAAATTGTATAATTAGAAGAGCTAACAGGACTCACGTATACACAAGACATCTACACCTATGTCGCCTCCATGTTTATTTTCAAGGTGCCCCGTGTGGCTGCCTCTGCACCGTTCTCATGGTTGATGTTCATTTCACTCCGAGTCTCAGAGCCAGGAGCATATGAGAGCTCACGTGGCAGAGACAGACCTCGGACCAGGACAGCCCAAGCCAGAGACGACAGAGCTGGCTGGAGGCCCTAGGGCGGCCCCTCTCCAATCACGGCGGGGTCCCCACCCTCCAGCTGAGCTCCCACCCAGTGAGAACCTGTTGGTCCTGCCATTGCGCATTGAACCTTCCCCACCCCCTTTTGCAAAAAAGCTGCACAGACATAAGTTAGACACACGTAGACAAAACTAATTAAAAAAAACAAAAAATCATAGCAGTCCTGAACGCCGAAACTTGATGCTACGTCAATGGAAAAATCCATCTGGACAAGCCACACTCCAAAGAGACCCCCCCTCTGGGACTTTCCCCACCAGGGGTCCAGCTGTCTTTCGTGTTGAGCTCCTGCACTTAAGAGTCTGCAGCAATTAAAAACCAAAAGGCTTCCCTAGGTCGCTTCCCATCCTTCATCAGAAGGATCCACGCGAGGTGTGTGCATCCCCAGTGGCCTTGATTTCTATGGAAACATGACATTCTCTCAACATCTATTCAAGTCAAACTAACAGATGCTGCCTTGTGACCAACCCTGCATCTCTCATGATGACAGGGGTGGGGTCATCTCTAGACTCCTTGATGAGCATCACAGAACAGTGTTCAGGATGGTCCTGGCCACACCCCGCCCCCTTGCAGCCAGGATGCAGACAACTGCTCTCCACGCGTCAGGGGCAGCCAACGCCTTGTGGGCACTGAGCGTTCTGAACCGTCTCTGCCTGCATCTTCCCTACTGCCAAGGCTACAGGAAGGTCATCCCCCCTCTACCAGGGAGGCCAAGTAACTTCTGAAGGTCACACAGCTCTTTAGGCAGAGGCAGGATCTGTGTGCCCCCCTCACTTCTGGGGTTTCTTCATGGGGCCCTATCCCCTCTACGGGTCCTCACGTCAGTGTGCAGTGGGCTGGGCAGACATGGACATTCCCATCCGAGAGGCCCAAGGACGTCAGTGAAAAACCTCGGACCAGCAGAGGCATTTCTGAGTTCCCGTGGCGTCAGCTTCCAGGTTAGAAATGCCAAGTGTGAGATTCCCACCTGGACTCCCCACCTCTGTGCTGACGCCTGCCGTGTGTGCTCAGTGAGCCCTCCAGGGGACTGCCACGCTCCACAGACGCACGACCTTGCCGGGGTTCCCGGCCTCACAGGAAACGAGGGTCACCCGGCGCAGGCACTTGCCTCAGCAGAGGGGACCCGCTTGGTGTTTGCTCTGAGCGCGTCTGTGTGCATGTGTGGGGTGCTGGGGCAGGGGTCCCGGCCATAAGCACGGCCTCTGGGAAGTGGAGCCTGGCCGTCCCGGCTCCCGCCACGTCTCCCACGTGCGGCACAGAGAATGCAGGTCTGCCTCACCCACTGATGCTTGGGCACCTGCGGAAGCTCACCCGAGCCTCTGAATTTTAGACTCAGAATTTTCAAGGTTGTCATCGAGCCGTTCTCCTTTGAAAAACCTGCTTTGTCTTCATTTGCTTTTAGGCTGAGCTCGCATGGTGTTAATCTCCCTAGTGTTGTTTAAATAAATTGCACATATTTGCTACTATTTTAAAGCTGTGAGACAAATGTAATAACAAAATCTGGCGAAGATCAATGCCAGACCTGCACTAGCTTCAGCTGGGAAGACACACCCACTTCTCTGGGGGAGGGACACCGGTGACGACAATGACCTGTCACCTGATGAGGCGAGCACGCGCTTCTGGACCCGCGCGGACCTCGGGCCGTTCAGAGCGCGGCACGCAAACCCCGACGCGTAATCATACTAATGGTAAGTCGCGTTTCTGGCCACTCTCGAAGGTATTTCCGAACAGACGACAGCTGCCGATTTCCCCACTGCACCCCGGTCACCCGTGTTTCTGAGCCAACGATGGCAGGTGTTGGGTGATAACATGAATGTGGCCTCTATGCTCCTGATGTGCATCTGCATGTTCACCTATATAGGCACACGCATGTATGTATAGGGGCAGGCACATACAGACAGACGTGCACACACATATATGTGCACGTGCCCCTGTGCTTATTATATATCATATACACATGCATGTGTGTACATATGTGTGTGTTTTGTTTGTTTCTCTCTCTGTGTATGTAACGTGTCACAATTTTCTCAAAACCAACAGCCCGGCCCTGACAGGCTGGCCAGGCTCCACATCACTGGTTCCTTACAGACAGTTCAGCCCAAGTCAGAGGTCTTGTAACTGGTGGGGGTCGGAGAGGGTCCTGACTGCTGCGCTGGCCTTGGAGCCAGCCAAGCTGTTACCTGCAGGCTTGCAGGATGGCGAGCGCTGAGGAAATAGCCTAGTCCTCTGATGGGACTCTCAGCCCAGCCCACCCCAGGGAGTAGCTGGTGCTCGACAAGCAGCCGCCGAGCGGGGGACGGTGTGCAGCGGGGGTGGCGGCGTTTGGGCCCTGGGGACCCCCTGGAGCCCTGACCCCAGGAAGGGGTGGCAGACGGGCTTTTACATGGGCATCTTGAGGGGCCAGGACCGCTCAGGACACATGTCTGCCCTCTTCCGCCCGCAGCGGGCCTTTCCCAAAAGGGGCGGAGGTAGGGTAGGGGCCATGGCTCCCAGGTACAGACCACGCAGAGGCCAGACGCTCATCTGTGAGGCCCTAAATCCGTCTGCTTCTTAATCAGCTCTTGTTTACAAAGCATTTCTCATTTCAGATGGCCTCTCCCACTGATCCTTCATCAATTGGGCTTACCATCGGATTCGTTCTGCTGACGATGCTCTGAAATGGTGATTTACTAGGGGAGGAGCCTCCCCAGGCTGGGGTCCTAGCACCGGGCCTGGGCCCCGGGATGAGTCTTATCCTGCCCCCAGAGCTGGACAAGCTCTGCGCTTTGGGGGCAGCTGGGGCGTGGGCAGGAGGCTGGGGTACTTTCTGGAGCGTAGCTTCTTTATGTCACAACCTGGGGGGGTTCCGCGGTCTCGCTCCTGAGCGATACAGGTGAGCTATGGAGTCACTGCCCCAACGGACTCGCACTCTG